ATGCAAGTTCCTCCTGCTTGTTTCCCATACGTCTAGCATTAGTGTAGAGACACCTTAGCCCCCCTATAGGTGCCCTTTAGTATTCCCTTATCTTGATTCTTAGTGGGCCCCTCAGTACTTACCTGATCAATTCCAGTATGCGGTTTGTGGGTTGTCCTCCCCGATCTCGTCCTGAACTCGGCATCCCCATCCCCTGACGAAGCTAGTTTAAAGCTCTATGTAGGAAGTCTGCCAACCTGTAGGAGAATAGACGCTTACCTTTTGGAGAGAGATGTAGGCCATCCCATCCCAGCAAGGTCTTATCCTGGAAGTATGGATTGTGGTCTAGAAAGCTGAACCCTGCATGGTGGCACCAGCTCTGAAGCCGTGAGTTGACCTCCTCAATTTAGTTGCTGTGGTGCTGACCACGTCCACTGACCGAGAGGACCTATGAGAAGACTACTTGTGCCCCCGAGCCTCTAAGCCTGCCCCCCAGAGCCATGTAGTCAGCCATGACCTGTCCCAGACTACTACGGGCTGGATCATTCGTTCTAACGTTGCTGACGACCATGGAGTAGTAGTCCGTGGGCCTCATTAGGTCTGGAAGCCTCACCGTAACGTCCCGAATCCTAGCTCTGGGCAGGTAGCATACATCCCATACTGTAGGATCCGGGTGGCAGATGACTCCCTCCATTCCTCTCAGGAGAGAGTCTCCCACCACAGTGGCTCGACATCTTCTCTGGCTGCCCAGTTGCCTCAGTCTGTCTGGTGTTAGCTGTGGTGGTTGCCTCCATTGCTGTACTCTCTCCCAGTGATGCTAGGGCATCATACCTGTTTCCCAGCTGCACCGGGGGAGTTGCTTCAGTAGTGCGACATCTAGATCTGGAGGTGACTGTCTTCCATCCTTCTGCATCGACCGCCTCCTGTGATGCCTTCCCTCCAGGTGTGTGGTCCTGCAGAGACTGGGAAGTACCCATCAATCTCTTCCTCAACTGCCCTGATTCCCCACCGCCTGCTGACCTCTGCCTGGAGTTCCCTCACCTGCCCCTCCAGGGCCTCAAGTTGGGCACATATGGGACAGTTGAGGGGACTCCTGGTTCGTCCAGGCCTCAGAGCCCCTGCCAGGCAGCTGCCACAGACAGGGGGCCAGGGTCTTAAGTGCCTCTTCTGTAAGCTGAACATGCCTAACTCCTTCAGCCTCTCCTCATATCACTAGCCTTCCAAGTCCTTGATTGTCTTTGTTGCCTGTCTCTGGACCCTCTCTAATTTCTCCATGTCCTTTTTTAAAATGTGAAGCCTAGAACTGCACATAGTACACAAGATGAGGCCTAACTAGTGCCGAGTCGAGAGGCACTATCACTTTGTGTCTTGCACCTAAAGTTTATATTGATGCATTCTAATACTGCATTAGCCTTTTGTGCAACTGCATTATGCTGCAGACTCATCTTGAGTCTGGTCTATTAAGACCCCCAAGTCCTTTTCCATAGTGTTGCCATCCAGCTAGATGTCTCCCACTTTATATTTGTGTTTTTAATTATTCCTCCTGAGGTGTAGCACCCTTGCATTTGTGTGCATTTAACATCATCCTGTTAGTTGTAGCCCAGCTTTCCAATCTGTCAAGAACCCTTTGAATTGTGCTCACGTCTTCCAGCGTGTTTGTAATCCTTCCCAGTTTTGGGTTCCCATTTTGGTGCAGTAATGCGATCTTCTGGAAGGATCCAATTCAAAGACTCCACCTAAGAATGTTTTTGGCAATGTTTTTCACAGGGAGAAGGG